AAATAAATATTTTTTACACGTAGTCTATAATTGTATGTTTATTGTTTAAATAAAAATAACTTTTTAACTCAAATATAAATGCAATCCTTACATCAAATAATTCTTCATATATAAATATTCAAATATTCTTCAATTCAAAGATACTTTTTGCCTGAAATGTTTAAACATCTTGCTGAAATAACTCATTAAAAAAAGATATGAAATTGAAATCTTCTTTAATTTACATTTTACATATATAAATACTATAACTATTCTACAGATACCAGAATAAAATGAATCCTTCATTTTGAAATATTTAGACCGTGTCCTATAGAACATTTTAGAATGTGTGTCGCGATAAAATAATTGAAATAAAAATACTGAAATCGTGGTTTCGAAAACAGGTTACAATGCAAGAAATATTTACAGCATTTTTCTATTTAAAAGGAAAGCATATGCCTGTAATAAGCGAGAGCAATTGAGCGTAATAGCATCTGGCCAGGGGCGCGATTTCATCTAGCATACTCGTTGTATAATATTCGTGGCGAGAATGAATTATCACGCAAACTATATCATTATGAACGTTTAAAAATCAACACTAGATCGAACAGCACGGTTGACGATATAATATGGTCAAAATTATTTACCAAGATCGACCTGATACACGTACACCTTTATCACTTTAATCACATTAAGCTACACCACGTCTTTATCAATACCTTCTTAAAAATTTCATGCTCTATTCAAATTATTCAATGAGAAACATTAGGCATTCCATTTAAAAAGATCAAGCTGAGTTATTTATTATTTCGATAAAACTCGAAGCAACTTTTTCGTTTGGAACTGGTTTTTTTTTCTTACAATGAATTATTCGAAATTGTCATGTTACGAGAATTGTTCTTTTATTTAACACAGTATAAGAATTAGCTTAGCACAGAATTTTTCTATCGTATTGTTTTTCTTGATTTCCTGTTAATTTTAAATTCTGATTAATTTAACATTTCGATTTCGATACAACATGGAACGAATTATTTGCCTGTATATATAATATACAGATCAATGTAACAGAACTGCAGAACTTCCATGTTTAATTCTTTCATATTAATTCTTCTGAAACAAAGATTTATTTTTAATAATGCATGCATTGTAATAGGGGATATATACACGGTGTTATATCCTTGAGATAGTTTTGAAGTCGCATTAATTATAATCCATGTAGTTTTAATCACGTTGGTGCGTAAATGAAATATTTTGTTATACATCTATAATTGTAATAAAACATGAATATTTCAATACGTTTCGTTTAAATATTATATTTCAATATAAGTATAATCGCGTATCTCAACAATTATGTACTCATATATTAAAAATGGATTAAAACGCAGGTATATTAATTACATATGTACACAACAGTGTTCTAATTATTCCTGTTTGCTTATCAAAACAGCATGGTTACCTTGGTATTTCAACGTCGTATCGTATTAATTAAACACATCAATTCATTTCTATGAAAAATCCTATTCCTCGTTTTCAGAAAAAAAAATCCTTTCCATATAGTTACACGTAATAAAACTTGTTAAATTAGCGTTTTGACACTTTTCTGATACTTTTTATTTTTCTTTTCCACGAAAAATCTTTTCTCGAGAGTCCTTTTCTTCGAGATGCAAAGCGAATTACAAAACTTTTCGAAAATCTCTCCGAAGAATACCTCCGTCAAACGCGATCCCTTTCAATAGATGCGAAGCAATTTTTACTTTTACCTCGTTACCCCTTTAAAAACACTAACGAGACTAATTGTAAGTGAATTTTCCGCGCGGCAGCGTAAATTCGGTTACAAACTGCACGGTTACCAAACCAGGCTGTTGCCAACCTTCCCGTGTAAAATCTGCATTTTCTGGCAAACTGAAATTCACAACTTGTTTGTCGCTACTCCCGATCCTCGAATCGCGCATTAACGACCCGGGTGTAGCAATGACGCATAACATTGGAGAGGCGACAAAAGGAAGATCAGAGTCGAAAAAAAAAAGAAAAAAAAAAAAAAAAGAAAAAAGAATTCGCGAAAATTTCGTGATGCATCGAAACGCGAAAAGTGATGTGGAACGTGGGGAAAACAAAATAATCGTTTTTCCGTGACAATGCCCACGGCAAGCTGCTACGTGTATTTTATTGTTGAATTCTCACGAATTTCGGGTTTATCGAAACAAATGGATTTACGGTCGCTAGGATTCTATGGATGGAAAATGGAATCACGTCTTCGAGTATCATCCCATTTGGAAGAGTTGATACGAGTAAGTAATTGATCGCGAAGAATTTGAACGAATTTTTCTTTTTTTTTTGGAAACTGATAACTGATAACTGTTTCGATTGTGCTCGACTTTGGAAATTCGAATTTTACGGTTTTTCATATGTTGTTGATTTGTTGTTACGTTTAATTTATTGGCCTAATTTAGTTTCGATTGAAGTTATACGTTTAAGAGAGTTTTTAGTAGGTATAATGGAAAACAATTATGAAAATCGTTGCAATATTTCTAATGAGAGCAATCATTAAACTTGTTTTTCGGTAATTTTGCTGCGAAATTATTCGATACGAGTAAATTGAATTGTCGAATGAATATTAATTCAAGCTTAAAGCACTGAATTTGAAATTAAAAGTAAGATAATAATCGAAATGTGATCGTGAAAATTGCGATTCTTTGATTAAAATATTGCGAATATTTTATCATGTGTATATAAAATCGAAATAATAAAAGTGTGAATCTTAAAGGTGTGGCTACGTTTGAGTTTTCTCAAAAATATTGGTCTTTTTTAAAAATTTAAATTAAAAATTTTTTTTTTAAATTTTTAATAAATACGAATCTTTTTCATTTTTCATAATTATTATGTAAAATAACTTAAGCATTAGAAATACGTAATATTTAATATGTAAATAATATTTTATACACAAATAATTATAATTAATAATGAAAATAAATAGGTACATGTAATTATGGATTTGGTAGCTCTAATGTTAATTTTCATTTCTTAATGAACGTAGAGTTATTTTTACTGATTAAAAGGTTTGCAAGAATAAAGAGGAAATTCCATATTTTTTGTTACACATTTTGTCTTATTAAAAACAATATAATCTTCCATTTCATATATATATATATATATATAATAACCAGCTTCGAATAATAATGTTGCAACATGCAACGTAACAGAAATATTTCATACTAATAGAAAAATAAAAGTATTAGGTATAAAACTGGAAGCATTCGTTACAACGAATAATTTTTAGCCTTTTTAATTTACTTATATAAAAATGCCTTGCATTGAAAATTGCAAAATTTAAAAATATATTAGAGTAAAAAAAAATATGTGTATAATGTGATGCTTTCATAATAAAAAATTGAAAACAACTTGTTGCCAAATAATTCAGATAATACATAGAATGAAGATGATTTCTCTTTATAAAATTAAATTTTCATGAATATAATAAAAGAGAGATTTCATTATTCATTCTTTAATTTTTAAATTAAATTTAATTATTAAATTCTCTCTCTAAATAGCCAAGCATTCCTACATTATCGTTATTACATCGAAAATCAAAAATTATATTCTATTATATTTTCTCGTAGACGAGAACGAGATAACGAGATAAAAGATGATGAGTCGACGAAACAATTTCGATTATGAAATGACCCAGTTGACGAATTAAGCTTGGGAAGTTGGCTTGGACAAAACTATTCGTGCTCACGTTTGGTGTTTCAAATTCTTCGAGATCGGCCGTAATAATGATCGCGTGAAAAGCTTCTCTCGTAGTTTGATTAAACTTCTCGATGCACGATGTAATTTATATTCATCAATGCGCGAGAGCAATTCTTAAAGCTTGTTATAATAACTTTTGCCGGTAAAACTGAGGGAGATGGTGTTGGAAAGTTGAATTCGGGCTATTGCAGTTTTCAACTTGATAATTAATTATTACGAGACGACAAAAAGGTTGATCCTACAGAAATTGAAGGAATATCTCGTTATCTATGCATGAAAGAATAAAACAAACGGGAAATTGAATAAAACTTTATATTTTCATCGAATAATTTTTGGAAAAGTAAATAAACGATGATAAAAAAATGAAAAAGAAATGAAAAGAAACAATAAAATTAAAAAAAATTGAAATTTTTATTGTAAAAATATTAAATGAGAATTAAGGAAAAGTAAATCGTTATTTTAAAATTTATTTCATTCACAAAAATAATTTTAATATTATAGAATTAATAATTTTTTGAAAGTTTAATAAAAAAAAATTATAAAAATCAATAAAGATATATTTCAACCTAGCATTTTTAATATATCACTTTATATATTTTTTATATCAAAATGTAATCAAATTTTTCAAAATTTCCTGACAATTTCAACAATTTTAAAATCATCAAAAAATTTTCCCTTTCTCTTTGACATTAATTAAATTAATTAAAAAATCCCCTATCAATCTCTCGATTCGTGTAAAAATTACGAAAAATTTCATCGCTCGGCATTCACAAACGGTTCCAACTCGAAATCAAATCAAATTTTATTCTTTTGATCGAGAAAATCATATATAAAATGCTCGTAAACACGAATATAGAACGTTACACTTATCTCACTCGCGATTAAAGTATTTCAATTCTCGCGTTTCGATCTCGCGAAAAGAAGAATCCCTCTCGAGTCACCGATGCAATTAACCGGCTTTTAAGACTTCAGAAAGGGCCGATGAGATAGAGAGGAAAATCTTAAAGCAATTAAGATTAATGTAATTAGCGTGAAAAGTGACTCGGGAGAGAGAACGAGAGAAATAGAGAGCCCTCTGTTCATTCCGTGTAGTATCCCTGAAGAGGCACTCGTGTCGGCATGCCTGGTCCCCGATTGTAAACAGATATTTTCGCGTTACTTTCATGGTGGTGGGTCGGTGGGTCTGCGCATGCGCCGCTCAGTTGGCGGCAAAGCCGTATGGTCGACCGACGTACACCAGTCAGTTGACGTAGCCGCGTCGTCCACGTAACAATATGCTCCCAGTTCTCGCGATCACGGTTCTCTGCATCGCGACATGGGCATCCGCGTTGAACGATCCGCTCTCAGGTAAATCAATCACCTGGCCAATTAAAATTTTGCACCCAATCGTTATCATTCCCAGTGAGAACGGTATCTCGGAACATTTTTTTTTCTTTTTTTTTTATCTTCTTCCATTTTCTTTCGTCGCGTTCTAACCTCGTTAGCCTGACGTTTATAAGGCTGAGTAGCGCAAGTGGTTCACGAACGTTTGCAAATCACTCGAAGCGGTTAACGGAGACGTGCAACTAGGATGAGCGTAAACGCTCGTTTATGTTTGCTAGTGTTCCCGAGAAGTGTTGGTATATATATATATACGTTTACGGAAGATAAATGTCTTTCGTGCGCGTTTGTACGAGGAGGCGAAGGAGTATAAGCTTTTGTCTATGGATCAACGAAGAAATGGTTACAGAGGTCCTTCTTTGCTGAAGTTTGGCAAAGATGCTCGACAAAGATCAGGAATGCTTGACAAACATCTTCGAGTGTTTACGTGTAGTTTGCACGGTTGATAAAACCTCGATTGTACTTGTCGAGCGTACTTGATAGTTTCTCGAGAGATTTTATTAAAATTTCTTTCGAGTGTAAATTTTTGATCGTAAATTCTGTTGGAAGACGTAATTCGATGGTTTAGCAGATAAGGATTTAACAACACATACGTGATAGGATTATTAGATTTTATTGGATTTTTATGCAATTGTAATTAATATATATATATACAATTTATGGATAATATTTATTGGAGATATCAGTAATTTTATATTTTTAATTTTTTATAACACTAATTTTTTCAAAGTTTTTTTCGTTTAAAAAATTAGTTGATACTGTTTATTTAAAAAATTGGTAAAAACATAAAAATTCCAAATTAAAAGTTTACGATTCACAACTTATTTAATAAAAAAATACAATGATCTTTTTCTCACAAATTCTAAATTTTGTAAATATTTATTTACACCATATTTTTACACATAATAATTTATTTATCAATATCAAACTTAATGTTATCCACACATTACAATGTATCGTTCGAAAGAGCCAAAAATTTGTAGCTACGAAATTGTGTAATATCAAACCGCAAAAGCCTCAAGTGTCTTTAAAGCTGTTGATTTATACATATGTATCTGCATATTGAATCAGTTTATAATATCATTGTATTCACGTTAAAATTTCGAAGATCGTAAAAAGGGATTCACAAATCGTGACAGAATCAGAGTGTTTTAGTGTTTTATGTCAAATTCAACTGTGCAAAGTTTTCAGTTTTATGTGTAAAGTTCTTGGAAAGATATAGTGTGTCAAGTCATTTCACGTTCTTGAAAGAGAACGTATTTCAAACAATTTCAATGTGACAACGATCGTAAACTGACTGTTTGCTGGTCTGATTGCCGCGTAACAGGCGCAACGTTAAGGTTTCTCTAAACAGGATACAGCAAGATATGGTTATATTGGCACTGGTTATTACTACGCCTTGTACAATCTACGTGTTGTATTGAACATAATATTATTATATTTTGCCAATTAATTAATGTTAATTAGTGATAAACGAAAGTGTTATTATATACCGTGTTTATTAAATTAGAGATGGAACTGTAAAGCTTCTCGAAGTTGTGAGAAAGTTTTTATGGTGGTTTAATTAAGATTCTGATTTATTATTGTGAATTACCACGATGAAATTGATATCTGTTATCTGTTAGAGAAAGATGAAACGAAAGATTCTGCTATTATTAATTGCTCTCTGCTATCTTTGAAATTATTCAAGTTTCGAAATGTTTTTGCATATTTGAAGTTTTACACGGTGTTTATTATTGAAGTTAAATTAGAAATTATGTATTCAGTAGATTCAGATTTAAAAATAGATTAATTTATTTATTTTAATGGAAGTGATAGAAAATGATAGAGCTTCAATTTTTTTTCTAATGTTTTAAAATGCTAGATATTTTAATTGAAATTTTGTCAAATTTGAATACGAATTTTTGAATTCGACATTTTTTGTAAAAATTGACTTTCTTTTACTCAAGCATGATTTTAGAATATTTCTTTTAATAAAAATTTCTGACAATTTTTTTTTTATGGTATTTCCTTTAAAATGGATTCGTGTTTATAAACAATTTACAAGTCAAAGTTGTTTAATCTAATTCAGTTTTAATGAAAAATATTATATCAAATCAGTGTAATAATTTACATATTGATATTAATATCATCAATATAACAAAATAGAACGTATTATATCAACTTTACAATTTTTAGATAATATTCAAGTTTAGAAAAAGTTAAGGAATTAAGAATCTTTAAGAAAACAATTGGAATCGATAAAAAATTTTTTAATTTTACTACAATACAATTTTTATCACTTTTATAAATGATAATGTAACATTTATTAGGAATCATTAGAAAAATTGGAATGTAATTAATAAAAGAACAAAAGAAATTAATAAAATTTCATTCGTGAAAAGTTTGATATAGAATTAAATAATTTATATCGAATCATGCCATTATAGAATGCAATTATCTTTCAAAATTTTCTGTTTTTTTATTCTATGCAATTTCTTGGCTTGCCTACAGTATTTGCGAGCATTTCTCTATCTTCTCACTTTCGCAGATGATTAAACATGGAATTTAATCCTGGTCCCTTCATCTTTGGCGTGTAGTTCGTTACGTTTGCGAATCATCCATTCATGTAGAGAAGACATCTTAGTGTTAGTTGCTAGACTTCGTGTCAATTTGTTTAGCATCATTCCATATTTATGCGTCTGGTCAGGCATTCACGTTTTAAAGCTTTTCAGTTTATATTTTGTATTGAATTCAATGCCACAAACCTATTTTCAAACAAAAATAATTAAAGATGCTCTTTTTGAAAATATAACATGATACGATGAAAACAAAATTTTTTTATTTATAAATTTAAGTTTTCGATAAAATCAATAGATTCACTGTTGATCGAATTCTCATTACGTGATTTATTCTAAAAAAATAATAAATATTTCACGTGAAATTTAATTTTGTATATTTGAATTATTATGAAAAATTTTTCGAAATTTTGCAATTATCAAAATTTAAAATTTTATGATAATTAAAACTGAGATAAAAGTAAAATATTGATCCTTTAATAGAATGAAAATAGTGTTTTTATTTATTTAGTTAGTTATTTATTTTGATTTGAATTATCGTGCCAAAGATTAATTATAATTTAAAACATGATAATTACTTTAATAAAAATTCATTTTTTTGATTCATATTGTGAGTCTCTAATCTTTAATATAATATAATATTTTTCCTTTGTTATATAGTTGATATATTCAAACTTATTCAATTTTCTATAAAAATATAATTTTTAAATTATAACATTAATATAAGAAATGAACGATATATTTTTTATTAAATTTCATAAGATATTATTATATGCATATATAGTAAAGTACATATCAATTTAAATGACAAACATACACAATAAGCTCAATTAATTATAAACGTTAACTACTATATTACGTTTACATTTATCTTCATTTGTAGGTTATCTTTGTATTATTATTATCTATTATCACGTTCTTATTCGTTTTAATGAAACATACACATCATTCACATGTCTCAAAATCGATATTCTGAAGTACTATTACTTATACATCAAGTTTCTACGTTATTTTAATTTCTTAGTGTGTTCACAGTATATATTATTTCAAATTTGAATAATTTTGACACGCGATGTTGATTCAGATGCAAATAAGAAAATAAAAAAATTACAAAATTTTGAGAAGGAAATAATACATAATAAAGCAATAGTGTGAAATGAATTAAATTTTGCAATATATGTGATAAAATAGATTTTGTGTAAAAATTTATTCGTAGTATATTTATGTAGGTAATAGAAATTCGTTCGAAGGACGAATCGAATATTGTATTCAAGGAAATGTTAAAATAGCTGAAAATTTGGTAAAAGAAAAAAAAAACAATCGATTTGAATCTCAGCTTTATATTTTCCATTTATCATTAATAAATTATTTTTTTATAATAGAAATTTTATTCTTGATAAACTAATTTTCATTCTAAAATTAATAGCCATATATATATATTTTCCAATCTCTTATTTGAAGAAATGTTATTATTTTGTTTTTACATGTATTATAAAAGAAATTTTATTTATTCCTTAAATTTCAAATTCCACTCCAATTTTTTTTATAAAAATAATTACTACTAATTATAACTCTTGATACACAAATGATTTCTTAACAAATTATTATTTCATTTTGTTCATCAACGAGAAATTTACGAAAAAGATGATCACTTCTTCTTCTCATTCAAGAAATTTTAATTCTTCGTTTCATTCCAATTTTCTTCACCATTAACTATTTCCATTATTTTCATTTAAAATACTTTCGACACATATAACATTATATTACATTATCATTATTATTGGATTGTTGAAAAACCTATATCAAAATAATTTATTCACTTTCAAAAATAAAAAAATTCTTAGCTTCTTAGAAATTTCACTTTAATTCGCACACGATTTTTTGAAATTATCGTTACAATCACGCATTGTTCATCGTTCAAGAAATTAATCTTGAATCATCTTTGTCCAAATCGGATCCAAACCGCCACCCTCTTAAAATACGCAAGGAGGTTTCCAGGAAAAAGAAAGACTCGGCCGTGACACGCGCGATAGAGCAGGAGAGAGGGCGATCGAAATCTTATCACCACGCTGGATCTCTTTAATCACCACCCCCGTTTTACTGCTTCGTGTATAGTTGCATAAAATGCGCGTCAGTCGCTCGCTACGTCAACGCCGTTGGATCGTGTTGTAAATTTAGCCCCTCCATCGATCCTGGAAACGATCGTGCCACGCTCTCTAAATTATCTCTCGTTTTCCATTTTCGTCCCTCATACTTCATTTAACGACCGGACAATCTAAGGAAATTCGAATGCTTGGGATAAACAATGCCGTTAAACTGGGGCGATTTCGTGCTAAAAGATTTCATTGGATTAAATTTTTTGAACGAAATGCTTGGGATTCGGTATCCATTGAATCGTTTGGTCGTTGA